AGAGTCTTGAGGAGGAATTAGGAATCGATGGTGCTATTGTCTGCACGCGTAGTCCTTTGAATGGGAAGGTTTATCCTCTTCGTTTGCAGCTTCCTCCCAATAATGCAACTATGCATGTTGTTGTGGTTTCGACCTCGTCCCAAGGTAATCTTTTACTCCAATGACGCCATAAATGCTAGTTATTGTGGTCAGTTCGATCTCGAAGATTAAGATTCAGTGTTATTTATACATAACTATCATTGATCTTTGGTGCTTACCTGATTTTCTTGTTTGCTGTACCAGCGGGTCAAGATTTGGCGACGGCAATGCCATTTTAGTAAGGAAGCAGAAATTATCGTGGTTTTGTTCCCAAGTATTGAACGCTACGTGTTTTGTGCATCCTTCAGCTATATCCCGAGACCCTTGCAATCAAGAGAGTTGAAAAGGGCGTGGCGAGCACTAAAAGAGTATGCAATCAATAATTACGAACAAGTTAGATCAAATATGCGAAAAACTCTGAATTTATGAAAGTTTTATCAACAAATTCCTGGCGGTGGAAGAGACAGACAGAGATTTCTACCCACAAAGACTCGTAGATTCTTTCATTTTATATTCTTGTAGTAAATTATAGTGTGTACTAAAAACTTGTTGAGGATTATTGTTTTACATTAATTCTTAAATTTTTGAAATACTAGAAATGATTATTTACGTTAGTGAAATTCTCTGTTCCAACTATTTGAATTACATTTTCAAATTGTCTGAACTTAAAAGGTCTATATAAATAGCATGAAGATTTTGTATTAGGTAATCCACAATCAAAAACTAATTAAGAATACTCCAGCTCACTTATGAGAAGTTTAAGAGAGAATCCTGGGAAAATACTATAAGGTGCTCGAAAATTATTGAAGTCCAACAAAATCTTTGATTTCTTTCTCCAACAGGTGGTTTTATGCATAGAAACGAGTTGGAAAGTATCATCATGTAGCAAGAGGGATGTATAATCAGCTAATCGAAAAACAAGTATAAAGTGAAGCATTCATTCATTTTTAGTTCGAAACTTTTTACTCGACAACTGTCTTCACCAGTAGTCCTCGCAAGAACATGAACCACTTTTGAAGTGATGGAACCGAATACGATCCCTCACAATAATCTCCACATTGAAAACTCGAGAGATCAATTTCGTAACATTGTGACAGTCAGTGCAGACCCGTATATTTTTAAATATACGAATAGGAACTCCTGGTTTCGAGTTTAAGAGACCAAAAGCAATAGCAAGTCTTTCGCTGTGAAGCCTTAGCGAATGACCCTTTTCATCGTCAAGATCATCAACCATAGGAGCCTGCGAAGAGTCAGGGATATGCCCTACTAATTTCAACCTTTCTTCAAAATCATCTAACTGTCGGTAAATCTCTTTCGTTTGTGGATGGGATGTATCCCCAGCGAAGAATTCATGAACAACGCCATTGATTTCGATTGTACTACAGCCAGGCTCTTTGGCAACGCCTTTATCAGGCATTAATTTCCTAATCAAGCCTACCTCGTTCCACCTATTAGCAGATGCATATAGTCTTGATAGAAGAACATAAACGCCACTACAGAAATTACCTTCAGACTCCATCATCTGCCTTGCGAGTTCTTCAGTGAGCTCCAAATCCACGTTGTTCTTGCAACAAGCATCAAGAAGACTTCTCCAAATCACAGCATCTGGTTTTAGTGGCATGTTTGATACAATATCAAGTGCTTCATCGATTTGTCCATTACGCGCTAGAAGGTCAATAAGGCAACCATAGTGCTGTAAAACTGGCTTTATATCATATTCATCAACCATCATATCAAAGTATTTCCGACCCCTATCAACCAAACCACTATGATTACAAACGCTCAATATGCCAATAAATGTGATGGAGTTAGGCATCAATCTATCTTCATCAATCATGTGGCTGAAATATTCAAACACTCTCTCAACTTCCCCGTGCATTGCAAATCCTAAAATCATTGCATTCCAAGAATTCACTTCCCTTGTACTCATCGCCTCAAAAACCTGCACAGCCATCCTTAATGAGCCGCATTTGGAATACATTTCCACCAGAGAGTTGTTCAGCAAGACATCAAAATTCGGATCAAATTCACACTTTCTTAATAGATATGCATGGGCCCACATCCCCATAGACAAGGCCCCCAAACCTGCACAAGCATCTATAACACTCTGCAACGTGTATCCATCCGGCACAAACCAATTTTTCATCTCAACAAACATTTTCAACCCCTCGTGAAACTCTCCTAATTGCACAAGTGCATCGATAATCGCATTCCACGATACCACACTTCTTTCAGGCATCTTATCAAACACTTTCCTTGCATACTCTAAACACCCACAGGAAGCATAGAAATGAATCAAGCTGTTGTTTATATAAACATCTGAGCCGAACCCATTTTTCAAAAGTTGAGCATGAGCCTGTCTCCCTTCATTAATTGCAAATAAATATGCACAAGCTTTTAGTACAAAGGGAAAAGTATATTTATCAGGTACAAGGTTTTCTCGTTCAAGAAGCTCCTGGAAGAGCGAAAAGGCCTGTTCTTTGTGGTCTTTGCTATGACCATAAGCTTTAATGACAGTGTTGTACATGAATGTGTTGTGGCTAGGGATTTGGTTGAAGAGTTTGAGAGTGTAGGCGAGGTCTTGTAAGGAAGAAAAGTGGAGGAGTCTGCTGTAGAGGAAGAAATTGTGGGGTGGTGGAACGGTGCGGAGGATTTGAGCGTGGATTTGTTTCAGGTTAGGAAGGGAAATGGTGGTGCACTGGGTTAAATTCTGGAATAGACGGTGGTAGTGGGGGTTGGCTGGTGGCGCGGCAGGCGCATTGACTAAAACAGCGGCCATTTTTCATCTTCACTAGTCCATTGTTCAAGTTGTTTTAATTTAATTCCAAAAAATCTAATCAATCCTCACCCAACTTTACCTTCATACAAGTTGCTCATCATAAAATATAGGGAGATTGATTTAAAATGTTTGGTCAAACTAAACATTTGTCCAAAAAGACAAAGAACTAAGACTTTTAGTTAAAAGATCTTAAGTTATTAAATATGGAAAATAGAATTTGTAAAAGGCTAAAATATCCTTATATGCAAAATTATGTTATTGCACTAATTTTTATTTCAATTTCCTTTCAACCCTAATCTCCTTCGCTCCTCTATGAACGACTCGACCACGGTAGGTGCCTTTATGCTGATTTTATTATCATCATCTTCTTCTTTACTTAATGAAATCACAAAATTTACATTCTCATTCCCTTGAACATTCATTTGGTTGAAGTGAATAATAAAATCTTACTATATTTTTATTGGGTATTTGGAGAAGAAGAGATAGTATGGTAAATTTTCAATATTTGAGCCACTTTCTTTCTCTATTGTTTTGAATCATCTGTTCATGTTGTTGTATATATGTTTGTGGTGTCCATTTGTCAATAATGATTTTGAATTCATTTTATGATTGATTAGATTGGAGCTTTAAATGTTCTTAATTTTATTCTCATTACCCCTTATTTGTATTCCTTAGTATTAATTGAAGTGAAATGTGAAGTGGTTAAGGATGATTGACTATTTTTTTCATTGTTTTCACGTGAAATATGCATTTGATTTTTTCAATACAGAACGATATACATATCGTTTTATGAAATCGTGAATGACATAGATATCGTTTTCTGAAATTCATGACAACGTACATATCGTTATCAATACTGTAAGATGTTTGAAATTTGATGAAATTTATATGTTGAATTACAGGTTAAGGACACTATGGACATAGTATGGATATTGGTCTGTTATCCAATTGAATATGAGCATACAGTTGAAGGTGCATAGAAATGAAAGTATTCTGGAAATGGCAAAGGGAAAAAAATACATATTCTTGTTGCAAAAATAATTTCTTACATGGAACTATATGATAAAGTTAAGGAGGCATTGAATATCGATACGAGTCTATACAAAATGGAAATTTCAGCTCTTGTCCCGATAATGTCTAAAGCTCTAGTTGCACCAATCATAATTGATTATGACAACAACGTGAAGTGGTTTATATCTGCCTGTACAGAAACTTTTCTTTGCGTAAGTATTTTAAATGAAGTTGTTGAGAATCGAGAATATTTTGGTGATGAAGGATGTTTATTAGTAATAGATGATAGAGAACAAATTGGAAATATGAACAACGAAGTGAAACATGACCAAACAGACAACGATGCTAATGATGACAATGGTGATGGAATATTTATAGATTATAATGGTTTTGACGTAAGTGAAGATAGTCCCCAAAGAGTAGATGGCGAAGTTAATTCTCTTGTAACAGATGACAATGATTTTGAGTTACACACACATGAACCTTGTAGTAGAAATGTAGCGAATGGTAATGATGTTAAATGTACTTAGATTGTATCTGCAAGTGTAAGTTCGCCCTGTTAAGAGACATCGGTAAAAATCTTGGAACGATTAGATGTGCAAGTCAACCAGTTGTTTCCATCGAAATATGGCCTAATATCAAAATTACAGTTGCTAGCTGTAAAATGCCACTTTGAGTACAAAGTTAAGAAGTCAAATAAGAGCACTTATACAATAGTTTGTATTGATGAAAATTGCAAGTAGCGCTTACGAGCAACCAAGAACGTAGAAAGTCTCATTTTCAAAGTTCGAAAGAATAATGGTTATCATTCTTGATCCATGAGTGTTCGTCACAGATATCATAGGCATGCTTTATATATAATTATTGGAAACCACATTGCTCTTAAGTATGAAGATGTCAACTGAGTTTACAAACCAAGGGACATTATTAATGACATTCGTCGAGAGTTCGGTATAACCGTAAGCTATATTAAAGCGTACATGGCTAAAGATTTTGCTTGTGGACTGATTCGTGGGAAACCTCGTGAGAGTGATGCGAAATTGCCAACATATTGTCATGTTTTGGAGATGTAAAACCTGGTACACTGACATTCATTCATACTAATGATAATTGGCGCTTTAAGTACCTTTTTATGGCACTGGGACCAAGTATACATGGGTTCCTCAACTCAATGTGGAATGTAATTTTTGTAGATGATGGATTCTTGACATCGAGAATGAAGGTACTCTACTCGTAGCAAGTTCTCAAGATGCAAATTTTCAAATATTTCCACTCGCATGGAGAGTAGTTGATTCGGAAAATGATAAATCCTGGACTTGATTCTTTCAAAAGTTACGATTAATAACAGGTGATACGGATGACCTTGTGATTATATCTGACCGTGCAATATGAAAAAAAATGGAGTTAAAAATGTGTTTCGATTTGTTTATCATGGTAATTGTACATATCACTTGCAAAAAAACTTGAGGACAAATTTTCCACGGTGTAATGTTGCAACTTTGTTTAGGGCAGCGTCGGGGGCTTATACTGTAACCGAATTTGAGTCTTACATGGCATCTCTATGCAGTAAAAAGGGGGGCATCAAATAGTACCTATTAGAAGAAGATTTTCATTATTGGGCTATAGAGCATTTTACTGGGATACGTTACAATATCATGACTCGAATAATGTGAAATCTATAAATGATTTGTTGAAGAGTGCTCGAGAACTTCCAATAGTTGGTTTAATATAATATATTCATGGGATACTACATAGGTGGTTTTATGAAAGACATGTTGAATCAGAAAAATGTGTGACCCAACTTACGCCAGTATTAGAGAAAAATATGTGCATGACATATAATGAGTCAAATGGGTTGGAGGTAAATAAGGTTTTTTCGGACATTTATCAAGTTGGTGACAATTTAGAACACCACTTAGTGGATTTTTACGAAATGAAATGTACATGTAGAAGATTTGATTTGGACAAGTTCCCATGTGCGCATGCAATGGCTATCGCAAGGTTTAAAGGAGACAACAGCTATAAATTATGTGCCCCTTTTTACACTAGTATTTGTTGGAAGCAAGCTTATTCTATATTCATATATCCTTTACCGAACGAGGTCGAATGGAAAATTTCTAAGAATGTGATAGCCAGAGAAATATTTCCATCATTGGTACGAAGACAGGGCGGGCAATCGTAAAAAAAGAGGAAAAGGTTGGCCGGAGAGACGCGTGTGGCTCGTAAGTACAGCAGGTGCAAGAAAACTGGTCATATTCGATCCACTTTCACGGGTCAAGTAGCTAGTTGTGAACCTTAAGGTTGTAATACTATCGTGTCTTGTAACTTTATGACTTCTTACTTATTATTTCAACTGAATGGAATAACTTATTAGATTTTGTAGTCATTGCGTTATTAAAATATTTTTTTACTGTTGGAATCAAATTAAAGTATTTTAGGTATTCATGTTCTTTTTTTTTTTCATAGTGAAGGCAAACTACGTTCATGTCATTCTAGTAGACATGAATGTCGTTCCAATTCAAAAATTGCACAGGTTAACATAATGATTTAGAACTCGTCCCGCATACACAAAATGACATGCATATCGTTTCAATGTTCAATACACACTGCTTCTCTGAATTACGTAACGACTTAGAACTCGTTCCGCATACACAAAAGGACATGCATATCGTTTCAATGTTCAATACATACTGCTTCTCTAAATTGCGTAACGACTTAGAACTCGTTATGACAATACATAACGACTTCAAAGTCATTTCAATTAAAATTGATACTAAAATGATTTATAACTCGTTCTTGAGACATAAAACAACATGCATATCATTTCAATGTTAAATACACACAGCTTCCCTGATTTGCGTGACGCCTTAGAATTCGTTATAACCACACATAATGTATTCGAAGTTGTTTAAGTTAAAATTGATACTATAACGATTTGGAACTCGTTCCTAGGACAAAAAATGACATTCATATCATTTCAATGTTAAATACACACTACTTCTCGGATTTGCATAACGACGTAAAACTCGTTATGACCACACATAACGACTTCGAAGTCGTTTCACATAAAATTGATACTAAAATGATATCGAACCCGTTCGTGCGACACAAAACGACGTTTACATCGTTTCAATGTTAAATACGCACTGCTCCAGTACTTAACGAGGGTTGGGCACATATCGTTTCTTCTCGTTCAAAATGACATTGATATCATTCTAGTCTAATCGTTCCTAAATCAACATCCATCTCGTTTCATTACAAACTTGCCGATTTCAAAATCGTTTCAACTAAGATAATAACTACAATGACATCGATATCGTTTCTTCACACTTGAAACGACATTATTATCGTCATGCTTAAAAATCACGTTTTGGTCATCCACGGCCACCAGCATATGTCTCACCATACATATGACGATAAAAATAGGTCATCTAGTCAGTTCAATCTCATCGAACGACACTATGGTAACGTTCGTGGTTTTATTGTTGTCTTTTACACTCGGATTGTTTCGATAGAAATCGGGCATCTCCGTTGGCTCTTTCGAGCCATTCGAGATCTACCAGCCCACTTGATACGTTCTTTCGATCATCATACACATTTCGGAAGTATGTCGAGCGATCGAGGATGATTGAAACGTCGTTTTTAGGTATAACGATATACATATCGT